CCATGTTTCCACTGCCCATTCAATGTTGCAGTCCCTAAGAGGAGCCATCCGTCTTGGGCGAATGTGTGTATACATATATATATATATTATAATATACTGCAGTATATGGGTATATATATATATGTATACTGATCACATATGTATTCGCACACACACTCACACACACACACACACCCAAGCTGTAAAACAAACATGTCCAAAAAACCACGCACCCGACCGAACGCCCGGCTCGCTCCGAGCTGCCTGTGTGCCGCCGCGAACCTCCACAAGGGCCTGACCGGACGTGTTGCAAGAAGGGGACTGACAGACTGGGGGACCGGACATGGGTGTCTCTAACATCTATAGCAATAAATATTCAGACATTAAAAAAGGGACTCTCTGTGTTTGTAATTCTAAGATACCCCTAAAGATGGTCTTTTCAATTAGGGAGAGCCCGACCCTAAAAGACAAAAGCAGAACATGACATTTGGGTACAATAATTTGAAAGTGGCTTTTCTTGCCACAAAGCCAGATGGACGTGTGTGTGTGTGTGTGTGTGCTTGCTTTTGAAGGGACGCTTTCGGGGTGGCTTTAAAGGGAAACCAGAACAAACCACCAATTTTGCAGGTCGCATTTCGACACATACCCATGTCACCCTAAACAACTGGAAGGCGATCAATCATGACTGCATTGTCACCCAGTAGTTTCCGGGCAAGAACATGTGTGCATGTTTACGAATTGCTCGTTTGGTTCCGTGAAATAGTTGCTGTACAGATGAACAACTGATGAAGCGGAATGGCCTCTTGCTCGACTCTTCTGGAGGAATCCCTGGTATGCACAGATTAGAAGAAACGCCCCAGCTCCGGAAATCTCGTTATCCCCCAAGGAGCTGCATCATGGAATCACTTAGGTGAGCTTCATACGTGTTCAACATGGTTTGTCCAGACAGGGAATGATAAACAATCATATGGTAGATAGCATGGGAAATCTGGCCGGCAATTTCTGACGTTAGTCTGGCAAGTTCAGGCGCCTCCACATGGTCGATGCTCCTCTTGCTTTCGTCTCAGTATGGACCCAACAACATGTCCTTGATTTGGATGCAAGCTCCTATGGCATATTTATCGACTTTGTGACTAAACACAAGCTGTCCACAAGCCAGTGCCGAACGAAAACGACTGTCCTTCTCGTTTTGAAATGTTGTACATGCTGTCCCCTTGATATGTGGCAACAGGACACCCCAAGTTCGCAGAACATGTCTCAGCCGGAAGCCCAGCTGATCCTTGCCCAGTCCCTTCACCGCCCAGACGATACTGGGAAAAGCGGGCTTCAGCTTGCTTGGTGCCGTGTTCACTTGAAGGCGCTAGTAGACAGTGGGAAAAAAAGGCCCACTACCTACATTCCCCCAGCCCTCAGTTGGAAACCCGCCTCAGCAGCAGTGGGGGGCTCTCCGCCTAGAGAGCAAATCGATCCTGCAGTCACACTGTGGCTGAGCAACAGCTTTCTGGGCCTGGGCTTCTGGACTATGTTGATGTCTCCCAAGAGAAAACTTAGAGTGTGCCAACTCAACAGTTGAGGTGGATGCTCACTCGAGTCTCCTTTCAGACGATTTCCACTCGATTGAAACACAGGTTTACTCCAGCTAGACAAGTCTTTTCAAATGGGATGTGGTCCTTGACAGCCTGCCACACGCGGCACGTTTTGCTAGTTCGTAGGGATCCGTCGTGTGCCAAAAAGCCATGAGCTGCAAAAAAAGGGTGAGCATAGCAGCGACCAAGCAAAAACACCGTCTTTGGCTGCGCCTCTTCTACAGTAAGCCGCGCAGGAGATAAGCACGCTGCAAATATCAAAGGGTGTCAGGTGCGAAGGCGGCATGGGCAAGCAACAGCGATGGCAAACAAAGCTATATGACACCAAGCTCTCCCAGCTGAATTGGCAACCACGCAGCTCCTAGAGTATGTTTAGTGTTCCAAACGAGAAATTGAGGAAGCAAGCCATTGTTGATCAAACCGAAAAGGAACAAAAAATGGCCTGCACAACAAACAAAGGAACCTGCTGGGTGAAGCGCCACTCTCATTTGGCTCTCAGCGCCCCTACCCGCCACCCCGACCTCGACACGTCGGAAGCTGGCATCCAGGGCGGTGGCCACCAAGGAGATGAAGTCCTCTCCTGAGGTCTGAACGCCCGAAACCCATGGACCGTTGCTGCTACCAGGGGTGTAGAGGTTTAGATGGCAGTCTTTTTTGGGGAAACCCCCTGTTGGTGGGTTTTAAGGGAAACCAAAAAGGACACCCAGGGTTGGAACGGTTTATTTGGGTGTCTTTCTTAGGGAACCCCCCCTGTTTTTTGGGCTTTAAGGGAAACCCAAGGTAAAACCCACCAGGGTAAAGGTTGATATTCTAAAAAATGGGGAATCAACCCTAGATTTTTTAGGGAACCGCCCCTGTTGGTGGGTGTTAAGGGATTTCAAAAGGAAAACCCCATTTTCTTGGGTGCCCCTATGTTGGTTGTGACTCACACGTCAGCTGGGCTGGAGTCCCAAACACCGCGCCTGCGTCGCCCGAATCTGTACCTAGGGCAAGCTGTGAATTCGTCGGCTCAACCAAGTGTGACACCATTGAAGGGTTTAGAGACGGAATGCCCAATGGGAACGTTGAGTCAAGTCATGAGAAGCTTGGACATGCAAAGACTACATTTGTGAGGAACAGGACTATGTTGCAGGAAGGCAAAGCCACTATCCTTTAGCAAGAGGACTTACCTAATGGCAAAAGGCATGAACAAACGTGCATCCTCGCTTTATGGCAACATGTCTCGGGCACTGCACTGAAAGCGCACACCATCCATAGACAAACCCAAACGGCCGTTCAATTCTCGGGTAGGTAGAAGCATAACCATTGCGCAACAATACCCGATCCATGCACCGGTGGCAGCGCGCCGCCATTTTTGTTTGGCCCGTCGCAAGCTTTGGCAACGCCTGGCCAGGTGCGCGACGAAAGCGACGCAAGTTCCAACTGTGTGAAGCACGAGCCTGGAGCTTCCGTTCTTGCAACATAGGGTCACTTGCCCTTACATTGGGTTCACCCCAGGGTGATTTCATGGGTGATGTGACGATATTATCATAGAATCCTGAGCGCCTTGAAGGCCCTTTAGCGACTCCACGGATTTGGATAACAGCACCTCAACCTGGCAAGCGGGGCGAGTTTGCTGATACAAAATGCCGGATCTCTGCACAAGTCAGCAAAACAAACACATCCGTTTGTCTGGTGCTTACATGTGCTTACTCTCCATAAGCAGAACATGCCAAACATGAAGAAAAACAATACGAGCAGAGTGACTCTATCAGTGACTCTATACCAACCACCGCTTCGTTCTCCCATGCTCCCCACGCAGCCTAATCGCTGTTAGCTGTTTCTCTTGGAGGCTCTGACCTCAAACAAATCTGCAGAGGTCCCAAAAAGAAACGACAATCCCCCGGCCTCTTGGGCTGGGCTAGGCTAAAGACTCCACTTGTTTTAAACGGCATCTGCAGATTTTTGGGAGGTCAGCCTCACAAAACGTGGTGAGGTCCTCCCGGACTTTTTGGGGACCTCTCCAGGTTTTGTGAGGCTGACCTCAAGAAGTCTCTAGAGGTCAATGTCGGTGTTTTTGTCTTTTCTTTCTCCGATGTTCTGCTGTTGTTCTTGAGGGATGTCTGTACATGTCTGTCTGCTGTTCTAATGTATTCCTGCGTTTCCAAGAAATCAAAAAGACTCGATAAAACAACAAACACAATTCTAAGACGGTGTTTCCATTGCATCAAGCCAGCTCAACACCAAAAAAACAAAAACAAAAAAAAACAATCCTCAGACAGTAGTGCAAGGCTTCTGCGAGACTATGGTTTGTTTATGTGTTTGTTTGGTTCTGTTCTTGGCGTTTGGTTTTGGGCAGGCTTGATCCAATGGAAAGATTGTCTGAGACTTGGTTGGTTGCTTGATCCAATGGAAACTCTGAATGGATTATGTCCTATCATTGATCATATATCTAAACTATTTTTTTTAAAAAAAAAAAAAAAAAAAAAAAAAAAAAAAACTCATGTTTTCTAGGGGATTTCTGTCCAACCACTTTTGAGGTGGTTCCTGTTGAAATCCGCAGCCATTTCAGGACCACGCCCACCGGCCTCTCTGCGAAGGCGGGACCAGTGGAAGGCCTCCAACCCGTGCGAATGGCTGGAGATCGGATCCCATGAAAGCGCTCAGAACCTATTGACTTTGGCTCTGGTGACATGTTTATAAAGGTGCATATATATGTATATATATATATGTATATATATATATATGTATATATATATATACACGTCAAATATATGTATATGTTTATATATGCATACTATCGATAAATATGAATATGTACATACATATGTATACATATACAATATCTAAAATATAATATAATAATATATATATATATATATTGTATATATAGAATATACACAATGTGTAGGATCTGCTATAACCCAAATTCAAACAGATACAACCGCCTTCTGAAATTGTCAATCAGGACCTGTTCCGTGGCCGCTGGATCTGAACAGGGTGTCCAACAAAGCAAGTCACAAGTTGCGGCGCCGTGTCAAACCCATCGACTTTCGCGTCGGCAACCAACACACAGAGGAAACGGGTCAAGAGGATGTCAAGAGGATGTTGATAGCCCACGAGGCCGGAGAAGTTGAAAGAGATGTTGCGCATGTTGCGCTATGATCAGCTTCCAAGCCTGCCTTTTTCGAGCACTGGCAATGCCAAACAAGTATGTTCAGTGGCTGAACTCTGACCAAGGCCGAGCGTCGTTTGGCGATTGGTGTGCATGAAACAACCTGCATGGTATTCATGAATGCCCTCATGCCCTGCTGTTGGATATTTGAAGTAGTCCAGTTCACGAGAGTCAACGGCACAAGGTGGCAAAGTAATAACTGTGCAAGTGCTGGATCGATTCCGAGAAGGATCCAATCACTGATCCGTGGTGAGTTCAAGCACTGAACGCTTGTGAAATCATCACGCCTGGATGTACTCCCCACGCCTCCCTCTTTTTCAGCCATGCCCGATTCCGGGCAGTTTTGGGAAGGCTGCAGGTTGCCCACACAGGTGGGGGGCACCCTCCCCGTGGGGAGGCTAAACGTTGCCTTCAAAACAGGTCTCTCAAATGGAGGTGGTATACGTGGTATGTGTAAACTGAAACCAAGAGGGAAAAATGCCACTTTTGGAGACCCCTATTTTGATAAGCGCCCAAACAACCAGCGAAAAAGGAGAATCTCAGACCCAGGACCCTTTTCCACCAACCTGTTGTAAACGCAGCCCTTTCTGCCCAAAAGGTGGCATTCCCATCCGTGACAGCTTCACCCCAAAAGGGGGCTCCCGTTGGAATTGAAAGCTGCACCCTGACACCCCATTTCCCACCAGGGATCCCCGAAAAGAATCGAACAGTTCCTGTACTTGTGGCATAACCAGTGTTCAAATCGGGCTTCATCCATCCCAGGTGCCGATCGGCGATTTTTTTTGTTGCCCAGTCGGGTAAGCTCCCCGCCGCTTCGCTGCGCAGCAGCGACCGCAGGAACCGCCGCCCCCCACGGCTGCGCAAAGCGTCCGCCGCCTGGGCGATGCCCCGTGACAGGACGAGGGCCCTGATGAAGAGCAACCAGAAATAGGGGGCTTTTTCAAAACACACACACACACACAAACACATACCGTTCTTTGAGCCAAACAGCCTTCCACCTGTTTTTCGGGAACCCACCGCGGACCAACAAAAATTTAGAACAAACTGGTCTTACGGAAGCCCCCCATCCTATTGCCATGGAACCCGCCAGGACCCCCCCCCCAGTTCGGTTCCAGTATGCATGACTGAATATGACTCACAACCAGTTTAGAATCCCCATAACTTGGGGACCTTCATGAGCTCGAGTGGCAAGTTCTTGCCACTCCTTCGGAATTAGAGCCGTCATTCATCAACCGTCTGCTGACACTCCCACCAGTCAGTGATTGGATGTGTTCCAAAATAGCGGGCCCTGAACTGGACTGTTGTTCCTTTGGCTTTCCTTTTGGATTCCCTCGCAAAAAAAAAAAAAAACAAGCAAGAGGGGGTTCCAAGCCCCCAAAGCCACATCCAGTCCCACCTCACCAAGGCCTCACAAGTTCAACCGCCGGGGGGGGGAGGGTTAACACGAAGAAAAACATTCGGCTCCAGGGAGCGCCAGGCGCAGGGAACAAGCCAAAACAACCCGTCAAATGGCAGCCCGGAGACCTGGCTTCTTAGGTCCTGGTGGTGTTCTTGGACCTTTTGGGGGCTTCTCAAAGCCCCTAAAAAGCTACCCGTTTCATGCTTTGGCATGGCTTCAATGGCTTCAGTGGCTTGGTCGTTTCCAGTTAGTAGATCGCCCCTGATTCCGGTGGTTTGCTTTTGGACCCTTTCAGCCAACCCCGGGGCGCGAGCTACGGAGCGCGGGGACTTCCTGGTGAGCCGCGCCTGGGGCGCCCGCCCGCACGCACGCACGCATAACCCGCATCCTATGTGTCACTTGCCGCTGAAAGGGGGCCTTCCCCATCCTTCCAACGGTTGGAAACCCCACCCTGTGAGACCATGTCTTGCCGATTCTCCTTGGGCCATGGGCACTGAATCTTGCAGAAAACCCGCGAAAAACCAAACTTGAAGGCCAGATCAGCAGGATCAATTCTACGTGTGCACCAGCCTACCCCCCCCCCACTTCTTCAAGGCCGAGGGACTTAAAGGAAAGGATTTCTTGAAGCAGAAAGTGGCAACCTCCAACCCAATTTTCACTGCCAAGTTTAGGCCAAACCCCTCGAGTAAAAGATTTTCAGGGTAAGCTCGCTTCCCAGGTGACACAGGTGGCAGGCGCCAAAATAATACTAATCACTAAAAAACAACGCATCTGGGAGCCGCGGGCGGCATCTGCCACCAGCTTCTGGGCACGCGAGAGGCGCAGGCGACCGCCCTCCTCGCAGAGGTCACGCCTCGGTCGAAATGCGGGGAATGCCCTCCACGCAGGGCTCATCAATGTTCCTGCCCCCCAAACCATGGGAGCCGTGCCAAAAAAGATATGCCGTATGCCAATTGAAAACATTTGGGGGGAGAAGCTTTCTTTTGCGGGTTCGCTGTTGGGGTGGTGGTCAAAGGACCAAAAGAAAAGCCACGACTTTGCGACCCCAATTTTTGACGCATGCACACATAGTACGTTCCTGCTTGACTCCCCCTTTTCTCAAGGGAGAATGTCGGAATGCCCCTTTATTTGGTTGGTTTCCTTTGGATTTTCCGTCAACAAACCCATCCATAACATGTGGTTGACAACTGCAAAGGGGATTGATGAGCTTCTCTTTGGTGAGGTGTTCGGGGACCCCCTTTTTTGCCTTGGGCGTGCGTTGCAAGCGCGTGTGTTCTTCAAAGGGTGCCCCGTTTTGGGTTGCTTTACAGAGAAACCAAAAGGACAACAAACATTTTTCAGAAATTCAATTTTCACATACCCAAGTCAACCAACATTATCATTTCTATAGGGAGACATAAATCCCCACCATACCCGTCACCAAAGGGTCCCAGATCTTTGGATGGATGGATGGATGGATGGATGGATGGATGGATGGATGGATGGATGGATGGATGGATGGATGATAGGGATATGGGTCAAAATTAAACGACCAGGGGACCGCAGGTTTGAGTCATTGGTTCGATTTACTAGGGTTCCGTTTTGGGTACCGGTTTTGACCCACAGCCATTGAGCGCAAATCCCCATAACAGGAAGTAAACCACCTCATGTCGGGGATCTCCGAGCTCCCGGCAGCGTCTTGCGCAGCACTGGGGAATCGGAGGGATTAGACCTCAGCGTTTTCGCGCATGCCCCAAAACACATGAGTCACAATCAAAACCTGGTACAAAAATGGTGAACCCAGAACCATGTAAAGAATTAGAAAGGCGGCCGCAACTGTTTCCGGCTGGGACTGCCCCTTACTAACCTTCTACCCGGGTTTTGATTGTGGCTCACATGGAAGCTGGCAGAGACGCGGACAAAACTTTCCGGCTAGCCTACGTAAAAAGAGGGTCCAATGTTAGGAACAAATTGGTCAAGGAGAGGATTCCTTCAGGTTCCGGCTGGAACCTCCGGGAAGAATTCGCCAGATCCGCAGGTACTGGAAGTTTCAACAGGGAATCAGTCCGGATCCATGGAGAACATGGGGCGACCCCCAATCACATCAAACAGGGGTTGATTGGTCCTGAGTCAAACTTACCTTAAGCTGCGCCCTTTCTGTTGTCTGCCTGCCTCCCCTCCCACTTTTTTGAACCCTTGCAACTAGGGGTAACCATTTTGGACCCCCAAACTAAATACCTTAGATGGTCTGGTTGTGATCGCTTGGCAAAAGGGATAAGGTAGACAATCTAGGGATACCCTCGAACGCCCGAACCCTGGTTGCTTAATGGCGAGTTTCCCCTTACAAATCTTCGCGGGCTAGATCCATTCACATGGGGAGTTGTGTCCGCCAAGTATCCATCAAAGTGGGTATGGGTCAAAACTAAACCACCAGGGGACCGCGGGTTTGAGTCCTTCTTTCCATTTACCAGGGCAAGCCATTTGTGGTACCTATTTTTTGACCCACAGCCAAGCAACGTTTCAACTACTTCGCTCACTTGCGGCCCATCCGCTAAGCCTCTGGCAAGAGCCGCTTCAGGGCAAAGGGATACACCTGCTTGCGACTCATTGGTTGCGCAGCGTGGCCCTGGAAATTCACCCCTTTCTTGATACCGAAATGCGCCGTCCCATGACTATATTTTGTGGCCATTGAGGGGATGCCCGGGAATCATTTCAATTGGCCCTAAAACACAACATTCAACTTCCCACAACCGTGTTGCGCAGAGTTTGCACTTTAACATCAAACAACCCCTTGTAAGGTCGTACCCAGTCCAAGCTTGCGTGTGCAAAAGTGATGCACCCTTGCCCGGAAGCAATAGGATGAATGGTTCGGGACAACCTGATCGAATTCCTTCATGCTTTGGGACTTCGTGAAACCAGAGGGACGACGCATGCGACGCGAAGAAAGCAATCCGCCTTCCGCAGGATGTTGAACTCCGGATCCACGGTCCGAGCCATGCCTCGAGAAGCTCCAAAGATGCGTGCCAACGGTGCAATACAAACATCGGCCAAGAGCAACCTTCCCTGTTTTCGCTGCTTTCAGGGTGGGTGTTTGTTATGTGTTTGTTTGTCTGATGTGTTTTTGTGCGTAGCCGTGTTGTGTCTGTGTTTGTATCGATGCCAAAGGAAACCTAGGGGTAAGGATGCTTTTTGGAAGGATGTCTATCTGTTGAAGGTAGCCCATTTTGGGGCCCAAACCTGCAGGATAGCAGGGGTACACAGTGTGGGGCCCTATGGAACCCATAAGTTATTCCTGGTATCCACATGGTGAGGCTATCTAGCCTTTGATTTTCCAAACTCTGTCTGTCAGGTCTCTGTGGTATATGCAGGGCTATGTCGATGTGGCCAAGCCCTTACATATGCCCTGGGCAAAACTTCTTCTGTGGGAATGGTTCCCTCCATGGCATCCTTATCATGAATCATTCTTGCCCAAATTCCCGGATGGAGCCATGACTATTCCCACCAACCCACCAAAAAAGAGTCATCTGAGACTTCCCCGAAGCGCGCTCGCGCCTTCCAAGCATCCCAGCGCTCGCGCATTGTTCAGGAAGTAGGGCGGAAGCTGAAACTCGTACCTCCCGTCCCCACCGGGCCCCCAGGGCCTGGTGCTCAGAACGCCTAAGAAAGAATGGTGCACAGGGAGGGTAGGTGTTTCCCCAAGTCTGACTGGTCAAGGCCCAAACATACCCCACATCCGGTGCCAGCTCTGAGTCCGCTCTTGTGAGATCGGCAACCCAAGCGCCCCCATCTAGAGAAAATAGGTTTGGACCCCCCAGTCAGGCTCTATGTTGGTGGGAGGGGTCAAGCTCACCCAAATCTCGTTTGTTGTAGGTAACCCTTTTTTGCTCTTGGTTTGTTTGAAAGGTTCCCTTGCTCACCTACTATGTGTATCTATGTATATATATATACACACTAAAACAACAACCAAACAACAAGCAATATGTATTAGGTTGGATGTCCGCTTCTCAAACGCACCGCGCCACGACGCGCCACGGCCCGACGGCCCACGCATCGCTGCGGCTCGCGGAAAGAAGCGCCTTGGCGCCAGGAAGGCCAGCCTCACGGGGGGTGGGGGGGGAACGGGGCACCCTCGCAACTTGGAGCTGAACCAGGACTCGGTTGCTTTCTGCTCCCCTGCGAAACGTTTAACTTTTAGTGGTTCAAAAAAAAAAAACGTTGGCAACAAGTCAAAGTCCTAACATCCAAGCAAATGCCCCAAAGAGGAATCAGCCGGCGAACGGGCGCCCTTGGAACGGAACCGCCAAAAAAAGAGAAGAGGCATCAACCGTGGCAATCCTTCTTGAAACCACAGCCGCGGGAGTTCAGAGCCGCGGCTTGGTCCCATCAAGTTCACCCCTCGCGCCGCTTTTTGGGGCCCCTGGCTGCTCCAAGAGCGCTGCGAAGCGGAGGGAAGGCACCTGGAGAAAGGAGCCAATCACCGAAGGGATGCCTCTTTTCTGGGGGCAGCCTGTTTGTTGACTTGGGAAACTGAGGGGAAACCCTCCTTTATGTCGGCTCAGCTAGCGGCAAACCGTGTTTGCATATGGGTTTGGGGCCCTCAGCCCTGCAAGTGACGCAGATGTGGCTTCCTTCCTTGCTTGTCTTGGGGTAAAGGCATTCCTTTGTTGTTGGCTGAATTCCAAGGAAACCCCCACACAACAAACAGGAAAAAAGGAAGCCGGGAATCAACACAAATATTTTAGAGGGTCACAGAGTCACGGACAGGATTCAACGCATCCCTTTTGGGACCCACTTCTGACTCAGGCTCGCAACCAAATATTGATTAAACGCTCAGCCGCACAACACTCACATGCTCATATGCGACCCGAACCCGTGGGCTGGCACATGCAGCACCATCCTTCACAACAGAGCTTCCAATGGAATGCCGGAAAGCCCCCCCGCGAAAAGCCACACTCACACGCGGGAAAACCAACTGGCTTTTTCGCCAAAAGGGCACCCACAGCCTGGCTTTCGAGAACCGTCTGACTTATGACTGATTTCAACCAAGCGCAAAACTATGTATAGCTATGCGCTTGTCAGCCTCAATCCAGGGACAATCCTCAAGAATTCCCGGTCAATTCAGGTAGACAGTTTGACCTACACTCAAAATCGAGGCGTTGTAGGCTAAAGTGCTTGCCACGGGGTTGATTCTGCTCACGACTGCCACCAGTGACCATTGACAAAACTAGTTCATCATCAATCATCGGCACTCAAGCAGCCTCAACTCATAGCGCACAGTGCTTAATTAAGTGTCTTCTGATTGAAAGTGTTTGGGCCATCGAGCCGACCTGGGAGAACAGACCCTAGGGGCAACAGAGCCACTCGCGCAGCGCGAGCCTTCAACAAAAAAGCTCAGACAGGTTGCGTTGCAGCCACTTGCGGCCCGCAGCCACTTGCGGCCACTCGAGTGGCTGCAAGTGGCTGTAAGTGGCCGAGGTCGCAGCCATTTGCCGCCACTTGCAGCCACTTGCAGTCACTTGCAGTCACTTGCAGTCACTTGCAGCCACTTGCAGCCACTTGCAGCTAATAGCTGCAAGTGGCTGCAACAACTCAATTCACGCACCGCAGGCGACCTCAATTGGGGAATTTTGTATCACTGGAAGGCCTTTTCCATGTCTGATTCACAGTCAATACTTGGTGCCAGCGAGAAAAGACATCTTCATTCGGATGGGTTTGCTTCTGCTGTCGTGCTCCGACTCATACACGAATGCATGCTGACCAAGTATCTTTCATGATTCATGCTCGTTCTGCGGCTGAACACTGCCAAACAATACCAATACAAGACAAAGTCATTTGGGTACAGCAGTACAGGATAGGATCATGTTATTGGCGAGTACGTGCCATAGATGGTGCCTTGCTTGTCATGTGGCCTGAAGCCAAAGGGATGAGTTGAAGTCATGGGGCTGAGTCCATACTGTCGCAAAAGTCAGGAACATTGGAACACACAGTATCATTACCGATTTTCACATTCAGCAAAATGTTTACATTCTTTCTTCAAGAACCCTTAACGTGATTCTAATCATCAACGCACTACAATGATCGCAATGGTTGGTGGGACAAACACATTACGGTCGTAGCATCTCTCGCACACACACACACAAAACAAAGGATACCATCTGAATATAAAACTGACTCTGCAGTCTGCTGTGGTTCAGGGACAAGCCTTGAACGGATTATGATTAGGAAGCAGAATCGCAAGTTGTCGTGAAAGGGACAGTAGAACGTAGTGTCTGTCGCAAGAGGAACATGCGGACGGAATGTCTGCTTTCGTGATCGGAATCGAGATCCAGATCCGGTACAGGAGACCAGTGTTCCGATTGCGGGGGTGCAACCAAACCATGGGGAGGTACAAAAAGCCTCCACACCTGGCTAGCGTCCTTTGAAAAACAAAAAAGGGCTTTGGACACCCCGCTGGATATCCACGCAAGGCTTACTCGTTTAGCACGGCGCTGGGGGGTCCTGGTGTATTTTTTGGTCACTGCACCCTCTTTCCAAAAATCCGGGAAGCGGACAACGGTTACAACAGCATGACTGCAGATCTTCCAAAACCCAGAATTGTTGGAGGGAGGGCATTCAAGGAAAAGACACGGCCAGACGTCCAGCAGGCATGTAACACAGCGCACCGTCAAGAAGAGGAAAGCGGATAGGAAAGAAATAAAAGGGCAGAATTTATAATTTCAAAACCTGAACAAAAAGGAACCCAAACGAAAAAGCTGGTGTATCCCTGCAAAAGCTACGACAAAGGACTACGTGTAGACAAAAGCAACAAGCAACTCTCAGTTTGGGGCCCTGTCGACAGCACAACCCATCCGACAATTTGGCCTCAGAGTCGTCGCCGAAGCTAAGGGCTTCCTGCAACGGTCCGAAGGGTATCAAATATAGGCTTGAGGAACATTGTCCGAGGGAGCATTCAGATTCCATCTTAGGCGTGGTGCTTTTGCAACCTTGATCCACAAGGAGCTACTGATGGACAAAATCCAGCAGTTCCCCCGTTGAATCCAAAGGAGTTTGGACAGCAAGGACTGAGTCTATGTTGAAACCACCCTGTTTGGGACATTATTCCGTCTGCATGTGCCACAAATAGTGGCTGCTTCTCAGAGTGGGGAACCCCTCCGCATGGCTGCGCTGCTTTGCCTTTCTTTGGTTCGACAAAATAGTTATCGATTTGAAGACACTTCCATCTTCGCAAAAAAATGGAAGGTTGACAAATGAATCCGCAAGCTTGCTCCCAAAATCCAATAAAGACAGGCAACAGGCTTGTGCGTTGTTGATCTGATGGGTGCGCCTGGCTTCCTCCAACTTCGGCAACATTGCACGACATCGAAGCTTGCTGTTGAACGAACGGACTTTCACCCTTGGCGAAGTGCAAAGCACGGCAAGCATGATTGTGTGTGCGCGTGTGTTTGCTCAATGGATGTGGTCAAGCCATAGCGCACTAGTTGTCTCACTTCCGTGGACTTTGCTCTAGCCTCATATATCTTGTGTAGCCCTTGCCCTGTCTTTTCCTTTGGACTATTTGACCCGCTTTGTTGGTGCCAACTTGGAATACCAAGAGGAAGCTCACACTTCTTGGTAAGCGCAAAGGAGTACCCTGCTCCTTGCCACCGTTTGCGGTGTCCGACCAAATGGAACTCACATGGCTCGTTGGCACCGGGCAGCTGCTAATCACTGACCCACATTGGACGTAGTGCACGCCGGAACAGCGAATAAAAAGCCGGCTGAGTCCGGGGTCTTTTTTGAAAGACACATGCAGAACATGTCGACACGTTGGCGTTGCTTTCCGCCAGTCTTTAAACATAGGAGAACGTAATAAAAGGCTACTGCAGCTTGATTGTCGAAGTGCAACTGTCGAGGACCTCATCGGTTTGCAATGTTCCTGGGGATTATGAGTCATGAGACATGCTGTAGGTGGACACACGCGTAACACTTGCAGGATGAGCAAGCAGCAGGCGCACGGACGACATTTGAGTATCTTTGCCACGCGATGGACATATTGGAAGTCAAAGACTCGGTGTGCTGAGCAACTTGTTGGATTAAGCGTGGCAGCTGATGGCTATATACAGGCTGTCGCTTGGACGATCGGTTCCTCTGAACATGTCCAGCTTCGGATCCTTGGTTGGCAACTCCATGTTTCACATTGGCTCCTCACACAAGGACACAGCTTGCAGTTGTGCAGGATGGTAGGAGTAAGATGACCTCCTTTTGATGCTGGCGTCTTTTGACAGACTCTCTAATCAGCAAACAGCTTGGATGAGTCATTGCCAAGCCCCAAATCAGGTTTCGACGAGGCACAGTACCCCAACTGCGCCCCTCGCTGCCTTAGCTGCTGCTTCGATGTCCTGGGTAAAGCTCTCCAGCGTCTCAGCCTCGGGTCGATCGAAACCATCCATCTGCCAATGCGTCAAAATGGTGGATATTTGTTCCCAAGTGATTGAGTCTCTCCGAACTCAGACGAGACCCATATTGGTCAATCAAGGGCGTAGCAACCCTGAGGCACTCATGAGGGAACCCTAGGGAGGCCCATGGGGACCATTTTAACGCCTTGATGCGGGCGATTGCGGGCTTACCCCGAAAGGAAAAACAAAAAAAACGCCTGGGCTTGTCAAAGAATGCACCCACATAGACTCCCAATGTCCATACCAAAGCTGTGACAACAGTGAATTTGATTCAGGAACCTTGGAAGTTCAAAGGTTTTGTGACATTACACAAGCACTAAATGGCTCCTGACTTCCCTTGACGATGGCAAACAAAACAAACAAACTGAACGCACAAGTTGCAATGGCGAGCCGCAAGCCGCGATGCTGGTGCCCGAATGCGACACATAGGAATCGTATCATATGGGTTGTGTTGCACCCGAATTGAAGTACGCCCAGCGCATACAGTTGTATGCCTTGTAACAAGTTGCATTCTACAATATTGGCCTCCGACATGTCTGTGCTCTGCTTTCAGCCAGGCAAAGCGGAGGCAGAACATCAAAACAAGCTGCGAACTGAACAACATTCTGATTCTGGGCCATCGTCGAATAGTGAGCTTCGCATGACAGATCGCCCTTCGGGATTCCCAAATCGACCAGTCCTGCGGGAATTGCAACAGGGGACCAGTGACAGAGATCTGTTGGTCTCTCCCGACTGGTACCTTGACAAAGGGAGCCTCCAGGGCAACAGGGCCCTCACATCTGCCAGCACCCAGTCAGGCAACAGCATGAGCTGGTTGAAGAGCCCCGCCACATCCGCCCAGCGCTTCCTCGGTCCCCGAGAAAAATTGCCGAGAAAAAGGGCGGTGGATGGCACCATGGCTTTCAAACAACCAACAGCTTGGTTGTCATTTGGGCTTCCCACACGGTTCTCCTGTTGCTTCCTTGGGTTTTCCCTGTTTCATGGGAGCCCTTAACAAGACCATCTCTATGGGCAGGGGTGTGCATTGTGGAGCTGATGGGCATCCTCCACAGGATATATGTCCAAGCATTTTGCCATGTCTTGGAGAGAAAGCAAATCTCAAAACTTGCTGGTGCTCAGCAGGGAATACGAGAATGACCCCTATAAATGATCTCTTGTGGTTTCCTTTGAGGGGCTCCAGGTTCCTTCTCGAATTCCCTTTTCATTCCCTACTAACCAGCAAGAAAATGGCCCATGAGGATAGTTGAAGCACTCCAAGGTTAAAGGGAAACTACAAGAACACCGTGGTTGAGGCGTCCCCAACATGGCGACGCTAAGCCAGACGGGCCACCCTCAGCCAGCCCCCCCCCCGCTGTGATGCAAAAAATAAAAAGCCCGCACTATGATTCATTTGCGAAAACAAACATCTCTTCTGGTCTTCGACATGATCCCAATTCCTGCCTTCCCCCAATCTTTGCTGGTTTGTCGTATGCGTTGTCCTTTTAAAAGGCCACTAGAGAGGTTTCTCACTTCAAAATATGAGCAGATGGGCAAGTGGCGCAGTGGCTCCCCCTCTTGCTGTTCCCCTTACCTTCAACCTTTGGCTGACACCGAAAGAAAACCATTTGTGAAGAAACTGGCCCAGTGAGTTCTACGGAAAGTTAGCCCAACCCCATTGTTTTGGCGGTTATTTGACTAACGTCCTTGATAATTTATGTAGATAATGTGTATTTATAATTTGTGTGCGTGAGCTTTGGTAGGGGAAACAGAAATGAGCGCGCTTGAAGTGTCAGCAAACACCAAGCTGGCGCAAACCTTTTAGCGTGTCCGGCAGACCCTCGATTTAGTTTCAAGCGAACGGTGCCCGTGGGGGCAAACCCCCGGGGACAAAACAAACTCTTTCGAGAGCCACCAGCTGTAGCACATCCTACCAGCATTGTGTTTTGGGCGCTCAGCTTTTCGACTTCACACGGCAAGTTGCAAACGCGTGTGCCTAACTCGGACTATCGCCGTGAGTTCCGCCCAGAAAAGCTGGCTTCCAAGCTGAAACACGCTACGTGGATTCCTACTGAAAGTCCTCGTTACAGCAACAAGTCAGGGACCATCCATTGAGGAGCGCCCCAGGGTGAACATGATTTTGTTAACTTGGCAATGTCTGAGAAGCTAACGTCTCATTGTCTTTTCATGTTGAAACATACAACCGCCGATTGCGGAAGGTTTCTTTTCTGCCTTTCACTCGCAACATGTCTTAAACAGAAGTATGGGGGTTGGGGATCCTGCCAGCGGCTGGGCAGTGGGTTCCATTAGCTTCAGCCCACAGAACCACTCCTTTACCCACCCCAGTGACCCTGGTAGGAAAAGCGAACCCGTTTTTGGGGTTGACCATTTTAGCGGGAAACCAACAAAAAAGAGAAAACATAGGGAATCCACGGAACACTGGGTTTTAGGCGAAAATCGAAATCCTGGCCAGGCACCCCCGCTGGACCATGTACATCACTGCACACACCAGGCCCTCGCGAACCTGTGTCAGGAAGGCAGAACCAGCTGAATCAAGGACTGGGGCAAAGGTTGTCAAACACATGCAAATTGAGATTGGCAGAACTTTGACGTCAATGCATGTTTCCATCAGCACGCAGTCACTCCCGGAAAGTGTAAGTTGACATTTGACTCCGGACATTCCACTGGACTTCTCAAGGGAAACGACCTTGCAGAGACCTGTCAGGTTTCATGGTAACCGCAAGCACAAAACTTGAATATACCTCAAAGTCTGTGTTGAGCTACAGTAGAATATGCGCCTTTTTGACAACGAATTACTCCAACGTCTCTGGTGAGAGTCGGCCGGCCCTAAGGATGGCAACAAGTGGCGCCAGTCACCAATCCCCATGACTACTTCGTCACGTCAAAAGACCAGCCTGCAGTGGCACATCTGCAATCAGCCCGAAGTCCAAGTACACCTCAGAAAGTCAGCAATTCAGCACTTGAGATGCTCCAGGTGTGCTTGAACTGGCCCCATATCGGATATGTGTGGATGTTGTTTCACGCGAACCCTCAGAAGCCCTTATGTACTCATTGTGCCGGGCTGTCGCCTGTTTGCTTTTCACCGCTCTTTTCTTCAGGAGGCAAAGTTGCGAGGTCCGATCAGGTTGTCCCTCACACATGGCCCAGGAGGATGATATGCTGTGAGACCCACGCAGCCTCTGGTGCCTTCCAACTTAAATTCCAATACTCTGTGCCCACTACAAAGCAATTCCATTGCTACTCCTGGCCCCAGACTTCTCCACTTCCAAGATTTTAGAACTATCCAATGCTATTCCAGGTTGTTGGCACTCACCGGCACAGCTCCAACACAATTCCAGCACAATTCCGATGCAACTCCAATACCAGTGGTTTTGGGTAAGTGATTGATGCTCCTGTCTGAGACTCTGGCATGATGCAAACACATGGCGGCACAAGGGGCTGACATTGTGTCAAAGGAGCCCTTCGAATACAAGTCCTTTGCGGATCCATTTTGGAATGCTCTTGGACTTGCCTCGGAAGGAAGTTGATCAATTCCATTCCATTTGCCCATCAAAGAGATTTCGAACAGAGAGACGTACGGTGTGACTGCAGGAAACATGGGCATGGAGCCCAAAAAGGGCCCGTGCACCTCACTCAGGCCACTTTTTTGGGCAGGTAAATCTCCAGGGTGCTTTCTTTTTGGGTTTCGAGGACACATCGAACATTTAACACAAGCACGTGTGTACCACAAGCTGCTTGAAAACCATTGCACGGGTTGAAGAGGCGGCGTGATGCAGTGGACAAATATCAGTATTTGACTGAAGCTTTTTTATGTGAACTTCCCTTGAACTGGTTCGTTGCAACGAAAAAGCCCAGCTTACAGCATGCCAAAGGACCTTGGCTGGAGGAAACCCTGCATCCACTGATGTGCAGCAGACATGAAATCCAGCAGGCAAGGGGTTTGGCAGCTTCGCGGTTTTGGTGCTTTCAGACGTTCAAGCCGGGTTTGTTTCAAAATCGCAGACACCCCCTTCCGAGGTATTTTTTTCCTGGGTATCGCTTGAAAAACAAGCTCCAAAAGCGTGACCCACTCCCCGGAAAAAAACAAAGTGAGACCTTCACGGCGGTCACAGCACGGTGCGCATGTGTCGCTGCAAGTCCCGGCGCGCAGCGCCGTAGGCATTCACCACGCTCGACGTGGGGTGCCCTTGCCACCTGGGCAGCCTTTAGTTGCTTGAGCCTCGAAGGCATGAAGGGAGCCCAGTCTCCAAGAATATGGATTTTCCCAAGATCATGCATGAGAACATGCAGGGAAAAGCGCAACTACATAGGAAAGCGCGAGGGAAAAGCAAGGGAATTTCACAGGAAAAAAAGGAATGACAAGGGAATCAACTTGAATTGCCAAGAAAATTGGCTCTGAAACTCGCTTCGGCCACAGCCCATGTCGCGCGGCCCGGACCCATGCTCCAGCTTCCCCCTCTGAAGCGAGCCCGATCCTGCTGCCCAAACCAATCTCTCCCGAAACCGGTCTTAATTGAATACTGGCCGCGGCGAGTAGCGCGAAGCGTTTACAATCAGACCGACCCAGGTCAAAGCGGTACGTGATGTGCTTGTGTGACATTTGCAGTGGAGTCAACCTACCGACATGGGAGTGCACGGACACCCTTTGGAAAACCCAAGGGTCCTTTTCAAACGGGGTTCCTGTGCTTGTCCATGTTCGGAAGGGTGTGTCTTCCAACATGGTGCTTCAGAAAAGACCCTCTTTCAAATGATGACACGACATCAAGCCTGAAACCTCATGTAACACCAAACCTTGGCTTTCCTTTCACGCCCCAAAAAACGGGCTGAGAGCTGCACCAGCTGCCTCAGGGGCCTCGCAAAACGCCACGAAACAGAAAAAGTCCACCGGGTTTTTGGGAATGAGCCGCTAAAGGGGATACGCATTCGGTGGCCTCCAACGGATGCCAGATGGATGGGTTGTTTTCTACATCCGGGAAGAGATATGCATTTCCCCTCGCATGCTTCAAAGTGGACTCAACATGAACGGGTTGACATCGGCAAAGGCAAGGTGAGCCACAATCAAGACCTTGGTAGATGAAGGTTAATAAGGAGCCTTCCCAGCCAGAAATTGGTGCGGACATCCGCCATTTTTGGGTTCTATACATTGTTTTTGGGCACACCAATTTCGATGCCATGTTTTGAGTGTAACTCAGTCCAACACTCTGGTCCTCGCTGTTTGCTGGTTCTCAAAAAAAGAGGAAATGACCCCGCAACTATGCTGTGAGTTTCCTTTAAAGGCTCCACAGGAGACTCCAAGACACACTCGATTTGATACAAATACTAAATACTACATGCCACGATGCCATGTCCTCATGTTGGGTGTGGTCACTCTTGCAGCGTCCTCCCAAATATTCCGCTGACGGGCACTGCTACCGTACCTGTCAACCCTCAGTAACCTTGCTCCCTAAAACTGGCTGGGTTCCTTTTGCCTTCCCTCTACTATCCAGAAAGAGGTCCTTCTTTGAATTAAATTGTCTGCTCTTGCTAGAATTCAATCTATTAGGAATCCCTGCACGGACTTCGTGGGCGAGCTTGTGTTGCCTGCGAGCTCACTAGTGGCTTTGAAAACTCGGGAGCCCTTAACTGATTGGTTTCACTTGAGGGGCACCCTCAAGAACGAAACACCCGTTTAAATTCACGCCCCTGCTGCCCACTTTTAAACCGCTTCGCTCGTGAGACTCGGCTGCCCGGCTGATTCGACTTGCCCTGTCGCGCGAGGCATCTGAGGGGAAGCCCGCTGCAAAAACTCAGGGATGCGCCAGTCCGACCGAAAGCCATGAGCTCTGGATTCGGATCTGCCCAAGAATGTTCCTGTTGGTTCACCATGAAGGGCAAACTATCTATAAGGCATGATGGCAAGCAGGCACCTCGTAAAAGCTCGTTTAGCCGGGTTTACCGCTCAATTGCTCGGGCTGGGTGGCTCCTGTGCGACAACAAGCATGTCCTAGCAGGTTCAAATGGAAGGCGAGTCTCTCTTGGAAAGGGAGTCTGTGCGCTTCTGTGTTGTTTACTTGTGGGACAAACAGCGTCGACTCGGTCTCAGCAACTTCATACGGTCACTTAGTGAAGTCTGAGGATATAAGTGGAGCTCAGTGATACGCTCGTTGCAGGGCTCGAAGAAAAAGAGACTCTGGCAACTTGTAGGAGCCCACAGGGGGAAACCCATACACAAACCTGAGGCTTGAAAGGTGCTGAGCAAAGCCTCAGAAAGGAATGATGCATGGGCAACCTCAATAAATGTACGTCCGCTTGCCTCGCTCGTATGTCGCATCGAGTTTCCCACAAAATTCCGGCCAGACCACCGGCCACGGCCAAAACCGCGCACCCGTTTGGCTTTGCGCCTTTTTTTTGAAGGCGGAAGACTCAAAATGAAATGAAACTCCCCCGAACAAAAGGCCATGGGTCAAAACCGCGTACCCCCGGTGAACATCCCAGTCTCCACTAAAATAGGTTCTGAAATGGGTGGTGCACCTACCAACCAAAATGGGATCCCATTGGTGTTGACCCGTTGACCCACGGCCAAACTCCCTGCCTTGAGCTTCAAAGGCGGGCCCTGCCAAGGGGGGAGAGGGAAACCACAAGGAAAACACGTGTTTTTTCTTTGTTCGGAGGACCAAAGCACCCCTTCTGGCTGTTGAAAGTCAGAATTTCAGATGATGCACGTTTACTGTAAACATGCACGTGAATTAAATCTGGGTGAGCATGTGTGCTCAGGGACTGTCGTCATGCTCCCCTGAGGGTCTAACCTTGATGCTGCCAAAACATAAAAGTTTGCAGGACTCATGTCTAGCTATACATAGGGGGTATGTGGCAACAAAGTTGGTATAGCTGGTATAGCTCTCAGGAAGTTCGGGTACAAAGCTACATGACGTCTCATGATATGCGAAAATGCCAATGTATACGCATGTACATGCTCGATGGCTTGCCAATGTAATTGTTGTTTGCGAAGCCGAGCCGGCAGCATCAAATACAAGATGCGCTTCAAAAGCCCGAAATTCAGTAACGTGAAGTATGGAGTAAGCTTGTATGTCGCAATATATCCCTAGACAAGAAATTCACAAACGACTGTTCCCCCAAAATACATTAGTTATAAAGCTATAAGTTTCCAAATACGATCTTCTCATGGACACCAGCCACATGTTTTTGTCTACAGGACGGCCTTTCTTCCAAACAAAGATGCCTGTATAATTTCCCCTTTATGGAAAATATTGACTTCTCACAAGTCTTCGTTGGTTTCTCAGACCTTCACTTCTTTCCTTGGCCCCGGATCCAGACCCGGTGCGCCCGAGCCTTCAGAAGATTCCCCCCATGGGGGTCCGTATGCATCACCCCGGTGCCCAGCAGCTGCCTCGAGCCGTCTTCAAGTTTACTGTTGTTTGAGGGTACCACGTTTGAAGGTCTCCAAAGGGAAGCCCAAAGGAAAAGCGGCTTTCCAAAGGGCTTTCCATGGTGCTTGGCTTGTGGTTTCCTATTGGTTACGTCGAGAAAGCCCACCGAAAGGACCCAAGGGACCGACACGACGCCGGCCACTTCGAAAGGCCCCTGTCAGACGACGTTGCCAAGGTGGGACTCCTTGCAGAAATTCGGGCAGAGGGGTTGACCACCAGAGCCGACATTGTCCTAAGCTGAGCGGTGCATCCAGTTCACCAACAAATCCCAGAAACCCAGTTGCCACAAAGCCAGAGACTGGAAGAATACGCCACCAGCCGTTCGTTTTGGAAAGTTCACATTCCTGTGATGAAATGTAGCAAAGGCCAGCACCTTCTAGTCGGACCAGCAACAAACACTTTTTCACATCATGGCGTTCCAAGACCACAATAGGATCATTTCAATAGTCAATAACTGATGATAAAGCAGGACGAGTCCGTGATCTGGCCTATCTTTGTCTAGCATATCTGTGGCACTTGACGCATAGCACCGGCCAGTTGCTTGCTGTTGCGATCCGCTGGGCCCCGCCCATGGGCCACAAATCCCATCGGTCACGATCACACACATCACACACCTCGCAACAAGGCAGGTAATTAACACAGGCTCATGTTCTATACCTGTTTTTGTTGAAGGCACCTTTGCGGGTTCGAAGTTCGGTTTCCCCTTGAAGTGAAATCCCGGCGCCCCTATGTTGACACCTACCGACTTGGCCACCATAGCCTTCCTCCAAGCACGCCAGTGAAGGCCTGGTTCCGCTAGGTGCCATCAGGAGGTGAGGCCCCAGCAAGAGAGTAGCCGTGATGCCCATCTCAACTAAGGGCAGATCCTGGCGCGCAAAACGCGTCCATGAAAATGCCGACGTATGGCTCGTTCAATTAGGGATTTGGACCCAAACCGGTGGCATAGTGTTTGATGTCGCTAAACGTCCTACGTGTCTGAAAGGGAAACCTCATTTCGAGGAGTCCAAGTGTTTTTGCACAGCCATGCCATTCTGCGCAAATAGCCAGATCCTGCAATAACACAGCAACAAACCAACAACAAGAACCACGGCTGATCCTGCCCTTTGATACCTCTTAGCATGAGGTTATATAGGCACTTATCTTGCAAACATCCTTCCCAGAATGATCTGTTCCAGTCAACATCAATAAGCAGCTTCTCTGCGACGAAACGTGCTTGACGACAGTGCCTCTCTGAGCGGCTGAGCACTTGAATAATGAACACCAAAATGAAGCACCAGGATGAACCACTGAAGGTTCACTGAACCACAAGGACCATGACCCCTCCAAACCCTCTTTCGCCTCACTGACGTCCACCACGCTGCATGCCGTGCTGGGGGCTGACGCAACCAAGCGCTCGCCTTCCACCCACCTCGGCGCAGCTTGGTTTGCTCGTCAAACAGGCGCGCCCCTTCCGCAAAACACAGGTCAAGAGTCATCAAAAAATCCGTTCATGTGGGCAGTTGGAGTACAGAACAAGGGGTGGCAAGGCCTGTGAAAGTGGGGCAGTGGCTCTTCCTCAGCAGCCGAGTCCGTGTGGCTGGGGTACAATCAATGGATAAGTATAGTTCATTCACCAAACAAGCGAGGTCGCGCGTTATGACTATATATTATGGCCGGTGTGTGTCAAAAGCACCTCCAACATGGATGGTCCTTCAATTCCTGACGTTCATGGAGCTCGTTTGCAATCAGGTAGGCCCGTTATAGTTTGTGCAAGCGTCACGTGCATGGGAATTTAAACCCACCAACGAGCTTTAGGCGTCCCCGATTAAAATCGCCATATGGCATATGACCTACGCAAAACAAGCCCTTGCCGGGGAGGCATCTCGGTTGAAAAACTTCAAACACAGCGGGGTTTGTAAAAGTGATTTTTTACTTTGGATCGATCTTTCTTGTTAGCCTCTGAACTGGAGGAAACCAAATGCCAAGGCACCCTGATTCAACTGGAGAGATTCAGACACAGTGAAGAAGCCGTGCATTTTCAGGGGGGGCTTCCTCTCTCTGGCACAGCGCCCGCCTTCAACATCAACATGCGGGCTATGGTCAAAGCTCCTATGACTGAGCGGCTGAGCCCCACAAATCAGTGTGGCCCACTGATGGACAAGAGACCTGTACGGCAACGGATGGCCCGACTACAGGATACATCAGATGCGCGCTTTGCCGGCAGCACCCACCCGTCCACAGCCTCCAAGCGAAGAGCCATGACAACCACTAGCGCCAAGACTCACGCAACACCATGTCAGCCGAATCAACCCCAGGGGTGTGGCATCCATCAAATTCAATGCTCCTCGTTCCGCGCAAAAACGAAACTGGCTTGGTAAACCTACACAAGGCGCGTCTTGCGGATAGGAACCGCCAGAATGTGCAAACGTAGCCTTGGCTCAAGCCCCCGGCGCATTCCTCCCCTTGTAACCGGCACGCAGGCAATAGTCCAGACGCAAAAATAAAAAGCGCAAGGCACGCGGCGCAGCATCAATGCCACAATCCCGCTTCGCATTGCTCCGCGCAACTGCGCCTGACACGGCCCCTGTGTCTCGTCACCAAATCTGTATCCCAACTGCCTCCATGGTCCAGGAGAACACAGTCAAGACCAGCTGGCATGCCTCTGCTTCCGGCCACTGCTTGATCGCTCCAGGCATGTGCCAATCCGGCAGCATAGCAAAAGACCTCGCTGTTGAGCAACCCACCTCCTGTACCCACCTCACCATCTCCATGACCATGTTGATAAAGGCCATGGCAACCGCTTGAGATGGCTGACACAGCCCTGCCGGCTGGTGGCTCTCGAGCCGGAGCTGGGTCAAAACTCCTTGGTGACACAATGGCTTTCCTCGAGTCAAACAACCTGTAGTTCACGATCATCAACCGACGGCATCAACAAAAAACGACGTCAGCTGAGGTTGCAGCTCCATGACCAGAATGCGACCTGAGGCGTGAAATCTCTCGCAAAGACAAATGGTTTGTGACAAGGGGAGCCTCAAGACACCTCACCAAATGCCCACCCTTGACATGCGGTTCTTCCAGGCTCGGCTCACTGCTTTTTTTTTGGGCCAAGGTAGACTCATATGAGGGAGAGAAAGCCCCCATTCCGAGGGGAGGATAATACCCTCCAAAAAGAAACGCAAGCAAAAGGGCAACCTTGACATGTCCGGGCGGGGGCTCGCAAGAAGCAACTACTGCCCTGCTAATAATAGGGATGTCTCAAAACCTCAGATGACTACACATGTCAGGCCAAACGCTTTGTGTAGCATGCGTCATGTCTCCTGTCGGAAAATTCACTTGACTGTGCCGACGAACGATCATGGGAATTGGAAAACCGCAATGAAATCATGATATATTCTCATGTCTGGAAGCTATCATAAGTTCATGGCAGTTGGGCTTGCATCCATGCTGATTCGTACTTTGTAATCGTATCAGTGCAGCTGGCTGGCGCGGGATGAATTGGTTCCCCATTCTTGTTGCCCACATCGTGTTTCAAAAACCATCCACAGCCTCATTGCAATGATCACTTGCTCAGCCGCCAACAGAAAAACAAACTAAACCTAGCACCCCCCAGACTCTTCAACCCCTTACACCCTGAACCCCATTGAGCCCGTGTCCTTTAAATTCGCTAAACCCCTGAAGCCCGGAACCCTAAGCTACTTTTTCCCCAAGATCGTGAACCACAGCTCAACCTTTTCATTCATTGCAAGGTTGGACCAACCCACAGCCACATGTTCAAACACCTTTTTTAACCAACCCCCTTTTGCCTTCCCTTTCAAGCGACCAGCCGCTTCTTTGTACTTGCCCGTTCATTGGGAGAGACCGAAGAAAGGCGCCCAAAAGTCTGCCGAAAGGCGCCCGCAAAGGTCGCGCTCGAGCTCTGGGATCTTTAAGCCTCGCCGGGATGGCGAGCGGCTTGCCTTCGGACGGACTTGTCATCTCCCTGTTTGCGCCAAGAAGTAAGGACTCTTTGGTACAAGTGGCAAATATCCGCTTAAAGTCCGAAACGTGCATTCAAAGAAAGGGACAATCTCCCTTCTCCCGACTTACCCCTAACTGCTAGTGTGGATTGGTGACGGGGTGACCTTTTGTTGTGAGCTTGTTCATTGACCAGTACAATACCCGCACTCTTTCTGCACCGTGCTTTCCCTGAATGCAACAAAGCAAAAGAGTGAAGGCTCAATTATTCCAACAATCACTTTGCTGCCGACGCCACCCCTGCCATGTCTCCCTTCCGTTCTTTTGGTTTGACAAGTCCCTCACATTGATGCAACTTGGGCCGCAGACTGCAATTGAAAATCCAATCAGCTCGGTGATGAATTTCCAGATTCCCATCCTTCGCTTCAGAACATAGCCCAAAAACCAGAAACACTGTGCGTGTAGGGTGCAGGATCAAAAAGAAAATTATTTACGGGAGCAAAAAGAAATTATCGACACCCGGATCAAAAACAAATTATTTACAGGATCAAAAACAAATTATCTCGCCTGGGGGTGCCGAAACGCTGTAATTTACATCATTTTCGGGCAACAGCGCGCACATTTTACGGCTCCAGCTGAAAAATAAACATTTTCCAATACAAGCGCAGTACGCGAAGGTCACTTTGGCAGCTCCAGTTCGAAAATCACAACTTTTCAGACGCACGCGCAGTTCTATCCACGAATCTAGCATCGGTTAAATGCCTGTAGGGTTGGCTTAAGGTTGTGTAGGGTTAATGTAGGTTGGGTTTCGGGTGGGTTTGGGTTGGTTTAGGTTGGTTTAGGGTTGGCTTAGGATTGGTTTAGGGTGGGTGTAGGTTTGGCTTAGGGTCTGTTTAGGGTGGGTTCAGGCTTGGTTTAGGGACAGTTTGGGGTTTGTTTGCGGTGGGTGGATTTCGGTTGGTTTAGGGTGGGTTTAGGTTGGATTTAGGGTGGTTTCAAATGGTTTCGGGTGTTTAGGGTGGGTTTAGGGTGGGTTTAGGGGTGGTTGGGGTTGGCTTAGGGTTGGTTTGGGGTTGGTTTGGGGTTGGGTTAATGGATGGTTTAGGCTACGTTTACGGTGGTTTAGGGTAAGTGTAGGGTAGGGTTAGGGCAGGTTTAGGGTTGGTTTAGGCTGGGTTAAGGGTTGGCTTAGGTTAAGGGTTGGTTTAGGTTGGGTTTAGGGTGGTTCTAAGTTGGCTTCGGGTAGGTTTAGGGTGGGTTTAGGGTTGGTTTGCGGGTTTAGGGTAAGTTTAGGGTTGGTTTAGGGTTTAGGGTCGGTTGAAGGCCAGTAGGGTTGGTTTAGGGTTAGGGATGGTTTAGACTGGGCTACGGCTTGGTTTAGGTTTGGTTTTGGGCTTGAAGGTTGGTTTAAGGGTAGGTTTTGGGCAGGTTTAGGGCGGGTTTCGGGTTGGTTTAGGACTGTTTTTGGGGTGGGTGCAGGTTTGGTTTAGGGTCTGTTTAATGTAGTTTTCGTGTTTAAGGTTGGTGTATGTAGGGCAGGTTTAGTGTGGGTTTAGGGTGGGTTTAGGGTTGGTTTAGGGTTGGTTTAGGATGGGTTTAGGGGTGGTTTAGGGTTGGCTTAGGGTTGGTTTAGGGTTGGGTTAAGGGATGGTTTAGGCTAAGTTTACGGTGGTTTAGGGTAAGTATAGGGTAGGGTTAGGGTTGCTTTAGGGTTGGTTTAAGGTTGTGTAGGGTTGGTTTCAAGGTTGGTTGAGGGTTAATTTTGGTTGGGTTTCGGGTGGGTTTGGGGTTGGCTTAGGTTGGTTTAGGGTTGGCTTAGGATTGGTTTAGGGCGGGTTTAGGCTTAGTTTAGGGTCTGTTTAGGGTGGGTTTAGGCAGGGTTTAGGGATTGTTTACGGTGGGTAGGTTTAGGTTGGGTTTAGGGTGGTTTTAGGTTGGCTTGGGGTAGGTTTAGGGTAGGTTTAGGGTGGGTTTAGGATTGGTTTAGGGTTGGTTTAGGGTGGGTTTAGGGTTGGTTTAATAGTTGCGCAGGGTCGGTTTCAAGGTTGGTTTATAGGTTGGTTTTAGGGTGGGTGTAGTTTGGTTTAGGGTCGGTTTCGGGTAGGAGAGCAGGCCAGGAGACCAGGAGACCAGGAGACCAAGAGACCAGGAGACCAGGAGACCAGGAGACCAGGAGACCAAGGACCAGGAGACAAGACACAGGAGACATGGGGACCAGGAGACCAGGAGACCAGGACCAGGAAACCAGGAAACCAGACTAGGTTTTTATAATTTGTTTTTGATCCCCTAAATAATTTTTGTTGATCCCCGAAATAATTGTTTTTTGATGCTCATCCCGTGCGTGTATGTGCGTGTCAGATTCCCATCCTTCGCTTCAGAACATAGCCCAAAAACCAGAAACACTGTGCGTGTAATGTGTGTGTGTGCGGGTCTTCTGTGTGTGTGTGTCGTCTGTGTGTTTGTGTGTCTGTGTGTCTGTGTGTCTGTGTGTCTGTGTGTCTGTGTGTCAGTGTGTCTGTGTGTCTGTATGTCTGTGTGTCTGTGTGTCTGTGTGTCTGTGTGTCTGTGTGTCTGTGTGTCTGTGTGTCTGTGTGGGTGCGTGTGCGTGTGCGTGTGCGTGTGCGTGTGCGTGTGCGTGTGCGTGTGCGTGTGCGTGTGCGTGTGCGTGTGCGTGCGCGTGCGCGTGCGCGTGCGCGTGCGCGTGCGCGTGCGCGTGCGCGTGCGCGTGCGCGTGCGCGTGCGCGTGCGCGTGGGCGCGTGCGCGTGCGTGTGCGTGTGCGTGTGCGTGTGCGTGTGCGTGTGCGTGTGCGTGTGCGTGTGCGTGTGCGTGTGCGTGTGCGTGTGCGTGTGCGTGTGCGTGTGCGTGTGCGTGTGCGTGTGCGTGTGGGTGTGGGTGTGTGTGTGTGTGTGTGTGCGTGTGTGTGTGTGTCTGTGTCTGTGTCTGTGTCTGTGTCCTGTCTGGGTCTGTGTCTGTGTCTGTGTCTGCGTCTGTTTCTGTGTCTGTGTCTGTGTCTGTGTCTGTGTCTGTGCGTGTGCGTGTGCCTGTGCGTGTGCGTGTGCGCGTGTGTCTGTGTGTCTGTGTGTCTGTGTGTCTGTGTGTCTGTGTGGGTGCCTCTGTGTGTGTGTGTGCGTGTGTCTGTGTGTGTGTGTATGTGTGCGTGTGTCTGTGTGTCTGTGTGTCTGTGTGTCTGTGTGTCTGTGTGGGTGCCTCTGTGCGTGTGTGTGTGTGTGTGCGTGTGTCTGTGTGTCTGTGTGCATGTGTTCGTGTGTCTGTGTGTCTGTGCGTGCGCGTGCGCGTGCGCGTGCGCGTGCGCGTGCGCGTGCGCGTGCGCGTGCGCGTGCGGGTGCGGGTGCGTGTGCGTGTGCGTGTGCGTGTGCGTGTGCGTGTGTGGTTTGTGTGTGGTTTTTGTGTGTGGTTTGTGTGTGTGGCGTGTGTGTGTGTGGCGTGGTGTGGTGTGGTGTGGTGTGGTGTGGTGTGGTGTGGTGTGGTGTGGTGTGGTGTGGTGTGGTGTGGTGTGGTGTGGTGTGGTGTGGTGTGGTGTGGTGTGGTGTGGTGCGGTGTGTGTGTGTGTGTGTGGTGTGTGTGTGTGTGTCTGTGTGTGTCTGTGTGTGTCTGTGTGTGTCTGTGTGTGTCTGTGTGTCTGTGTCTTTGTGTGTCTTTGTGTGTCTTTGTGTGTCTTTGTGTGTCTTTGTGTGTCTTTGTGTGTCTTTGCGTCTTTGTGTGTCTTTGTGTCTCTGTGTGTCTCTGTGTGTGTCTGTGTGTGTCTGTGTGTGTCTGTGTGTGTCTCTGTGTGTCTCTGTGTGTCTCTGTGTGTCTCTGTGTGTCTCTGTGTGTCTGTGTGTGTCTGTGTGTGTCTGTGTGTGTCTGTGTGTGTCTGTGTGTGTCTGTGTGTGTCTGTGTGTGTCTGTGTGTGTCTGTGTGTGTCTGTGTGTGTCTGTGTGTGTCTGTGTGTGTCTGTGTGTGTCTGTGTGTGTCTGTGTGTGTCTGTGTGTGTCTGTGTGTGTCTGTGTGTGTCTGTGTGTGTCTGTGTGTGTCTGTGTGTGTCTGTGTGTGTCTGTGTGTGTCTGTGTGTGTCTGTGTGTGTCTGTGTGTGTCTCTGTGTGTCTCTGTGTGTCTCTGTGTGTCTCTGTGTGTCTCTGTGTGTCTCTGTGTGTCTCTGTGTGTCTCTGTGTGTCTCTGTGTGTCTCTGTGTGTCTCTGTGTGTCTCTGTGTGTCTCTGTGTGTCTCTGTGTGTCTCTGTGTGTCTCTGTGTGTCTCTGTGTGTCTCTGTGTGTCTCTGTGTGTCTCTGTGTCTCTGTGTGTCTCTGTGTGTCTCTGTGTGTCTCTGTGTGTCTCTGTGTGTCTCTGTGTGTCTCTGTGTGTCTCTGTGTGTCTCTGTGTGTCTCTGTGTGTCTCTGTGTGTCTCTGTGTGTCTCTCACTGTGTGTCTCTGTGTGTCTCTGTGTGTCTCTGTGTGTCTCTGTGTGTCTCTGTGTGTCTCTGTGTGTCTCTGTGTGTCTCTGTGGGTCTCTGTGTGTCTCTGTGTGTCTCTGTGTGTCTCTGTGTGTCTCTGTGTGTCTCTGTGTGTCTCTGTGTGTCTCTGTGTGTCTCTGTGTGTCTCTGTGTGTCTCGTCTGTTGTCTGTGTCTCAGTGTCTCTGTTCTCTGTGTCTCTGTGTCTCTGTGTGTCTGTGTCTCGGTGCGTCTGTGCGTCTGCGCGTCTGCGCGTCTGCGCGTCTGCGCGTCTGCGCGTCTGCGCGTCTCGCGTCTGCGCGTCTGCCGTCTGCGCGTCTGCGCGTCTGCGCGTCTGCGCGTCTGCGCGTCTGCGCGTCTGCGCGTCTGCGCGTCTGCGCGTCTGCGCGACTGCGCGTCTGAGCGTCTGCCGTCGTGTCTGCGTGTCTGCGTGTCTGCGTTTCTGCGTGTCTGCGTGTCTGCGTCTCTGTGTGTCTCTCTGTCTCTCTGTGTGTCTCTCTGTGTGTCTCTCTGTGTGTGTCTCTCTGTGTGTCTCTCTGTGTGTCTCTCTGTGTGTCTCTCTGTGTGTCTCTCTGTGTGTCTCTCTGTGTGTCTCTCTGTGTGTCTCTCTGTGTGTCTCTCTGTGTGTCTCTGTGTGTCTCTCTGTGTGTCTCTCTGTGTGTCTCTCTGTGTGTCTCTCTGTGTGTCTCTCTGTGTGTCTCTCTGTGTGTCTCTCTGTGTGTCTCTCTGTGTGTCTCTCTGTGTGTCTCTCTGTGTGTCTCTCTGTGTGTCTCTCTGTGTGTCTCTCTGTGTGTCTCTCTGTCTCTCTGTGTGTCTCTCTGTGTGTCTCTCTGTGTGTCTCTCTGTGTGTCTCTCTGTGTGTCTCTCTGTGTGTCTCTCTGTGTGTCTCTCTGTGTGTCTCTCTGTGTGTCTCTCTGTGTGTCTCTCTGTGTGTCTCTCTGTGTGTCTCTCTGTGTGTCTCTCTGTGTGTCTCTCTGTGTGTCTCTCTGTGTGTCTCTCTGTGTTGTCTCTCTGTGTGTCTCTCTGTGTGTCTCTCTGTGTGTCTCTCTGTGTGTCTCTCTGTGTGTCTCTCTGTGTGTGTCTCTCTGTGTCTCTGTGTCTGTGTCTGTGTGTGTCTGTGTCTGTGTCTGTGTCTGTGTCTGTGTCTGTGTCTGTGTCTGTGTCTGTGTCTGTGTGTCTGTGTCTGTGTCTGTGTCTGTGTCTGTGTCTGTGTCTGTGTCTGTGTCTGTGTCTGTGTCTGTGTCTGTGTCTGTGTCTGTGTCTGTGTCTGTGTCTGTGTCTGTGTCTGTGTCTGTGTCTGTGTCTGTGTCTGTGTCTGTGTCTGTGTCTGTGTCTGTGTCTGTGTCTGTGTCTGTGTCTGTGTCTGTGTCTGTGTCTGTGTCTGTGTCTGTGTCTGTGTCTGTGTCTGTGTCTGTGTCTGTGTCTGTGTCTGTGTCTGTGTCTGTGTCTGTGTCTCTGTCTGTGTCTGTGTCTTTGTCTGTGTGCGTGTGTGCGTGTGTTTGGTTTAATTGCTGAAAAGACCGATTGGTGAGAATGGGGAATCGGCCTTCCAATTTCATGGAGGGCCCTTGCCTGGCTTGGGCAGCTGCGCCGCGAATTTGCCCTGCTTGCCTCAGCAAAATGGCAAACAGAAGTGGAAGGCTGCCTGAAAACATACAGTATCGATTCCCTTTTGTGAACACCTAGCTTAGTCAATTGTGCATGAAATATGGTATACGGTCTTTCATTCCTGATTATGGGACCGGATTCCTCAAACTACAGTGCGCACTGTGGAGGCGGGGGATTCCTGAGCAAGAATGTCATGCAACAGTTCATTACTATTGGCTTCCTCCAGCAGCAGATCACAATCACAATCAATGGTGAACAAACATTACTGAAATCAGGAGATGTCCTTCGTGCGTTTTGACTCTCATGAGTCTACTATGAGTCTACTGACCCGCCCCCCTCACCACACTCGCTCACGAAACCCTTGCAAGCTCAGACAAGCAAGTGCGCAAACAGCAGCGCAAATTGTACAATGAGTTTGCCTCAGCAACCCAAGTGAACAGATCTGCTGAGCAGCTGAATGCTGTCCGAAACACATGCTCATGGAAGCGGGGTCTGTCAAGAGTTATACTGAATACGGTGAGTGCGCAACCGTCTTAGTAAACAAGAATAGCTGAATCCTAACCATGCAAATCACACTACGGAAAGGAACGGAAAAGAGTGATCTCAGATTGCTTAAATCGGGGCATCACTTTGAGAATCCCACCACAATACAGCACTGAATGTCAGATGCCCTCTATTTTGTGGTTTGGAGGTTAGGGCGAGCGAACCAGGGGTTCAAATTCCGCCACAAATCCAAACCACCCCTTTGGGTCAACCTGAAGTACCCTGCAGCTCCAGATTTCCAGTCTTGGCACGCGCAAGTCGGGCCCGCGATCCATTCCCAAGGGGTGTTCCATGACCTTTGGCCCCCTCCCACTTGTACGGATCAAGCTGGCAACATAAGGGTTCAGCCTCTTTGATATTCAAACTGGATCTGGTTCAAGGGGTCGATTCCCTCGTCGGCCCCAAGGTTCCTCTTCAGCTTCGGCCCCCTTTCGGGCCGCCGCACCATACAGAGCCAGGAACCGCTCCGCGTTGTCGGCCTCGCGGCGGTAGTCCAGCTCCTCGCAAATCGGATGTGGCACTTTCGGAGAAGGGTGGGATTATCATACCCCTGCAAAATGGAAACCCGCTCTGGACGCTCAAAGCTGCCCCCCAAAAGCTGGTTCTATCTCACTTCTGCGGGGAAAAGGGGGGGACCTCTCTTCCCGACTGCCAACTCCGCGCCTCGAAGAGCCGAGAGCAGAACTCATCCACAGCACCTAAGACCTACGGTGGGAACCAAACAGGTCGCCCCAGTTCTCGTTGGATTGGAATGCGAATAGTGTGCTGCACGTGCTGCGTGTGCTGCCTGTGCTACCTGTGCTGCGTGCGCGGAGTGCGCAACGTAAGCTGCAAGGTGTGTGCTGCATGCGCTCCGTGTGCTGCGTGTGCTGCGTGTGCTGCGTGCTGCGAGTGCTGCGTGCTCTGCGTGTGCTGCGTACGCTGCGTGCGCACCGTGAGCTGCGTGTGCTGTGTGCTGCGTGTGCTGCGTGTGCTGCATGCGCTCTGTTCTCTCGGTGAGCTGCGCGTGCTGTGTGTGATGTACTGCGTGTGCGGCGTGCGCAACCTGAGCTGGGAGTGTGCCGCATGCGCTGCGTGCGCAGCGTGAGCTGCATGTGCTGTGTGCTGCGTGTGCTGCATGGGCTCTGTTCTCTCGGTGAGCTGCGCGTGCTGTGTGTGATGTACTGCGTGTGCGGCGCGCGCAACCTGAGCTGCGAGTGTGCCGCATGCGGCTGCGTGCGCAGCATGAGCTGCATGTGCTGTGTGCTGCGCGTGCTGCATGCGCTTTGTGCTCTCGGTGAGCTGCGCGTGCTGTGTGTGATGTACTGCGTGTGCGGCGTGCGCAACCTGAGCTGCGAGTGTGCCGCATGCGGCTGCGTGCGCAGCGTGAGCTGCGTGTGCTCAAAAGGACACTCGCTCAAAATGAGGGTCCCAAGCTGAGATACCTAAATGGATGCTCCCTGGACGAACCCTCAAAACAGGACACCCAACGTCAGCTCTGAAAACTGCTGGGTTCTGCGCGTTGGCGCGGACCAAGCGTTCGCCTGGCAGTGGGTTCTGCCAGCTTGGCGCCCATGTCTCGTCAAAGTCACACTGGGTTCAAACTTATTTTTGCTGCTCAAGCGACTCTACCGCAGTTCTTGCCAGCGAGGAAAAGAACTAAGAAAGGAAAGAGAGTCCAGACGCACATCTTGAGAAAGAACAAGCCAGGAGAACAAAAAGCGAAGAGAAGGGGCAAGTGCACCACAAATGGTTGGGACTTTTCCCCTACTACAAACCTTTGTCTGCGCAGGCATTGATTGTGCTTACTTTGTTTTTGTATAGAAGGGTCTGAGTGGGGTTGATTCTTGTTGGTTCGAAGCAATAATGAGCGCTCAGTTTTCGGGCATGCCCGCTGTGTTGTGCACAGCACACCATCGCCACTCCGCACGGCTCTCCACAAAGGAAACGCGGTGAACAGCTGAGTTTAGGGGATTGGCCGCACTTTGGAAGCCGTGCGGAGAGTGAAAACTCCGATAGTCTCCTGAAAATTGAAGAGACACCCTCTGGATGATTGCTTTCCAGTTCAAGGAGCCGTTTGTCAGGTTCCATGTTTGCGGCGGCAGGGAAACATGGAACCTGAAAGGCTCCGCAGAGAAAGCTCCTGTGTTTTTTTTTTTTTTTTTTTCCGGTCGGGCTCCTTCTTTTACTTTGCAGGGGAGTGAACCGCTAGTGATCATCCTTCAAAAGGACGATGGCTCGCAAGAACCAGTCAATCCGTCAGGATGTTTTCTCGCGGAATCCGGCGTGTTGATCTACGGATCCCGCAAAAAGATATGTTGCGTGACAGCCCAATATAACATTACACCTAAAGTCCATCGCATACTGCCCGCATTGTAAAAGCAAACTGCACTGAAACGAACAGCAATGATTGTGAAAGGGGAACTTGGATGGTCTCAGAGTTTAGCGAAGTCCTCGGCAAACACCCGTTCCCGCGTTGACCTCTCGTTTTCGTCGTTCCCTGATAACCATGCTCAGCAACTATTTGGCCAACTCTCCGACCATTGGGTCCATCTCAAAATAGGCAATCGCAGTTTTGGGCAGTTTCAAAGGGAAACCAAAGGGCGAAGAAAACCACTGCTTTTTATGGCTCCCAGATTTCAAGAATGACGCTGGGGAAGAGCCTCAAAATGGTGGTGGACACAAAAATCCTACAGCGCAGGGTCCCCAATTCTACCTTAGCTTTTGCCCCCAACCAAAAAACCAGATTCTTGGATTCTGGTCCATAGTGAACCTTTAAAGTGAGAGCCTGAGCTCTACCCCTGAGACTTCCCAATCCTCGCAGGTCACGTAGGCCCTCCACTAGGCGAGCCAAAGACCTGGCGGTAGTTAGATGGTTCCCTCCTGTGAGAACCAAGCCAAGGAGCTCTGAAAGAGGGGGGTCCCAAGGGCTTGGTGCTCTTGCGATCCGTGGCTGGAGTTTTCACGTGGCTCAAAGGAGAAGCCTCAAAGTTGGTGGCGTCCTCTTGACCCAAACTAATTCACATCCTGCTTGATCAATCGCCAATCCGAACTCAGGAATGCACTGGGAACTTCAACATCGGTGAGCTCGTTTTCCCCCCAGGCTCGGTGAGCTCGTTGAAATTTACCCAGATCCAGCTCGGTTTGTGCCTCCACAATAGTATCCTTGATTTTGGCCCATATGATGAACATTAGAAGCCGTGAACTAATTTCAGAAAGGAACCGCCTTTTCGGTGGCAGCCACCCGAAAAAGGAAAAGTCCGCGATTCTAAAAAGATACCAGAAAGAGTGGCTGGAAACCGTTCACGTCTATGACATTCTCACTTTTGCGTGGCTTTGGATTACCTTGGTTCAAAAGAAGTACGTCCGGAACCTCAGCGCGTGAGTGGAGCTTTCAAAAAACAGTCCCGCGCCTGAGAAGTGCAGCGTCCACCGCCGCGAGGCGCCGGGCGTCCGGGCGCTGCACCTGAAAGTCGATCGCCGCGTCGCAAAAGTGCTCTTTTTTACCTCGCAGTGAATTTATTTCTCCCCCCAAAAAAAAGTAGTGACAAGAATGTGGGCTTCCCGTAATTGGGGGATCCCAGTGTAGGTGGTTGATTTTCTTGGTTTCTGCGATATGTGCAGAGAGCTGCGTGTTCTCTTAGTGATCCGCGTGCGTCACAGCCAAGCAGTGTGTGGTGACTCAATTCCGCCGGACCAGTCTGTTTTCACACTGCTGAATTGCTATTGGCTCAAGGCATTTAACCATTTGTCCATGCAACCTCAGGTTTCTGCAGTTTCCCTTCTAAACCACAGCAGAAGATGCTACCAAGCTGAAAAAAGACACGATCGAGATATAATGTTCTCAAGAAATGCTTGAATTTTCTCAATGTTACAAGTGGGAAACAATGGAAACCCTGGAAGTTGTGTTGTTTTGCGCGTGGTTCGGCCAGCAAGGGTCATTCCATATGTGCGCTTGTCACAAAACAAGTTTCATCAGCTTGCACCTCCAGAACACCAGGACCTCATAATCTTGCATACGGCGTGTTGATCTTCGTGTCACAAGCACCCAAAACGCTAGTCCCTGGATCCACAGCATCCAAAGTGGTTCCCGGGTTTGGCGAGGTCAGATTTGGCAAAAGCCGAAAACTTCCTAGAGGCCGGCATCTTAAGCCAAGCCAGGACGGTTTGGTCAGCTTTCAACCAAAATAAGTGGCCTCCCAAAATTATTGGTTTTGAAAGCGAACCAAAGACGTCAGTCCCCTGTTTCGGCATGCCTAAAGGAGACCGACACTTGGGGTGTTCTCATACATTGAGCCATGGATAAAACTGCTTGTTTCCAAGAGGACAACGAGATGTACCATAATGGCCAAAGTAATTCGAACGGGGTTCTGATAAGGTTGAAAGGATGGACTGGCCGGTGAGTCTCGCGCTAACCGCTCCCATGCTTCCCTCGTCCGCTCACGCTGTCTCTTCTTCCCATTCCCTCACCCCGTTGCCTTCACGCGCGGCAACTGCTGCTGAATGGGTGAGCACACATGACGAAGAGTGACTATCCATTCGTTTTCATCCGTTCCTTTTCCATCCCTGGAAGCGAGGATGGGATGCGGATGGAGGAAGAGGGCGAAGATGAGACCAACCGCTGAGAAAAGGGAGGACAGCAGGATAGAAAAACATAAGTAGTTTTAGAATCTTGTCCCCTCCCTCATCAGCTTTCTATCATGTGGAATATTAATGTTGTCGTTTGTTGATTGAAAAAAGCAGCTACACTCATATCATATGAATCATATCCTTGTCCTCTGACCCTATATTATGTTTGGAATATTCGTTGCTTTTGCGTAACTACATTGTTAATACAACTCTTATCCCTGGAATCTGATTAGGCCAACATGTAACATCAGGTAGTAATTCAGCATTATTATCTGGTATGATCGTTTTAATTAGAGATACAGGTGTACATTACAACCAAATTAGATCATGACTCGCGCATGATGTATAATTATTTGGCCCTTTCAATCGTAGTCTTACAGGATGGTGACTTCCGCGTTCGCCGGGGCAAAACCACAGCGGAACAACCCGGGCAAACGATGTAACTCCGGGCCTTCACCGCCACCGCCCGGCCGCGCACGAAGCCTGATGGCTGGGCTCTGGTTACTTCTCTGATGTCCACCAGGTCCCTGAAAACTCACACCCTCGGAATCAGTGCCAAATGGTGGGCTTTCCTGCAGTCCCTTGGAAGGCTAACAGGGGGTAAGCCATTTTGAGAATCTCCCAAAGGGATATGTGTCAACATGACACCCAAAAATGGCGGGGGTTCGTTGGAGTCCCTGCAAACCAACTTGAAAAGGGCAGCCTCAAAAGAAGAACAAATTGAAGACGCCCTCCAACAAAAAAAGCGCGCGCGCATGCGCGCGCGCACACACAGACACAGAGACACAGAGACACAGAGACACAGAGACACAGAGACACAGAGACACAGAGACACAGAGACACAGAGACACAGAGACACAGAGACACAGAGACACAGAGACACAGAGACACAGAGACACAGAGACACAGAGACACAGAGACACAGAGACACAGAGACACAGAGACACAGAGACACAGAGACACAGAGACACAGAGACACAGAGACACAGAGACACAGAGACACAGAGACACAGAGACACAGAGACACAGAGACACAGAGACACAGAGACACAGAGACACAGAGACACAGAGACACAGAGACACAGAGACACAGAGACACAGAGACACAGAGACACAGAGACACAGAGAGACACAGAGACACAGAGACACAGAGACACAGAGACACACAGAGACACAGAGACACAGAGACACAGAGACACAGAGACACAGAGACACAGAGACACAGAGACACAGAGACACACAGAGACACAGAGACACAGAGACACAGAGACACAGAGACACAGAGACACAGAGACACAGAGACACAGAGACACAGAGACACAGAGACACAGAGACACAGAGACACAGAGACACAGAGACACAGAGACACAGAGACACAGAGACACAGAGACACAGAGACACAGAGACACAGAGACACAGAGACACAGACACACAGACACACAGACACACAGAGACACAGAGACACAGAGACACAGAGACACAGAGACACAGGCACAGACAGAGACACAGACACAGACACAGACACAGACACAAACACAGACACACCCCACCCCACCCCACCCCACCCCACCCCACCCCACCCCACCCCACCCCACCCCACCCCACCCCACCCCACCCCACCCCACCCCACCCCACCACCACACCAAACCACACCACACCACACCACACCACACCACACCACACCACACCACACCACACCACAACCACACACACACACAAAGCACCCCCCCCCCCCCAGCGGAAGGGTCGCGACTCCCTGCGCCAAACCGGCCCAGCAGAACCCAAAGCGACCCCCGAAACTGGCTTTGCTTTCTTTCCCTTAACCATCCCCGAAAGGAAGCTCTGCATGTCCTGCTGAAAAAAATTGCGATGTAGTTGGTTGGGGTTTACCAAGCCGAGTCTTTTCACGGTTTCTGTTTGTTTTCATTAAGATGTTGTTCCTTTTTCCGGGTTGACTGGGGGGGGGGGGGGCCTCCGAAACGCCCAAAATTCCACTGAGCACATCCAGCCCTGTCCATCCAGGAAGCAAAACCCTGGGTGCCCATTTGTCAGCGATCGGGTGGTGGAAGAAGCTTTCCTTTTGGGGAAGCTCTGATTGTTAGGAGGGTACAAGAAAATGCTGTGTCGGCGAGGCTTCGAATCCGTGCCCCAACGAATCTTTCTGGGGCAATCAACAACAGTAAAACTGCTGGCTCCAGTGGATGTCCGGAAAAATGGGCGCCCCCAAACCCGTCAAGTTTGTGTGAAACCCGACAGGTCGCCACATCCGGCCGGGTTAGGCCTCGATACACCTGGCCCAGCGATGCAGCGGCCACGACCTCCGCACCCTCCAGAGACCTAGCTGCACGGTGGTCTATCGAAAAAATCATGTTGATTCCAACCTGCAAGCATTAGAGGGGAAACCAATGCAACCAGCCGAATGGTCGGTTCACAGATGCATATCACAGTGGGCTCGTTTTACCTCCGAATCGGTGAGATCAGCATTTCCAGTCATCGTTCTTTCCAGAAAAAGGATCCCTGGAAAGATTGGGGAAGTTCGCAAATGCATACTTCTTTTTGGTTCTCATTCAAAACATGTCTCTTTGGCTTCTCCCGAAACAACCCCAAGATGGGCGGCCTCGACAAAAAGGACACACCCGTTTGAATGCGATTGCTTTTGTGGATCCCCTATAGAGTAATAATCGAAACCTTGGTTGCTGTTGACCCCTCTGCAAAAATGTCAGCTTTTTGTAGGTCCATGGAAAACCCACTGCATACCAAATTGTTCAAGCAACAGATCCAGCCAAACATCCATGAAAAAACCCGGGGTTGCAGGAGTCCACACAAAACCCACGGTACAGAATCAGAAGGGAGGCAAAGCCCCCAAGCCCCCAGGGACAAAAAGGTTCATGACATGATTATGAACTTTAAGTGGCGACCCCCCCATCTAAAAAGTTGGTGGCTACATAAATCCAACCATGAAGATGTCCACCAAGGAGCTCCTAGTCATGATTCACCCACATGAGGCCATCAAAGCAGGAAGGCCAAACTAAAAATATCTTGGGGAATGAGATTGCCTCAATTGATCAGGTCAGCTGCGTTGCTTGATGGCTGACTCTGTGCTAGAAGCCCCGGCTGCAGCAACTCCGTGGCCGCTTCATCCTGCGGGCAACTTCGTTCTTTCTGACCGAGCGTGCCGAGTTGAATATGGCTTGGACACGGTTTATTCAATCAGGGTTGCTCAAACCAGCTGTGTGAACACTTTAAGCTCACTGCTGGAACATCCTCCCTTGGATGCTGACTCACAGGGACCCATAGCGGGCGTGAACCAATTTGGCTCATCCCTGCCTTGTATTTCTCGCCTTGGTTCCAACCCGAACGAGCAAGCAGGCAAGCAAGCAAGCAAGCCAGCGAGCAAGCAAGCAAACGAGCAAGCGAGCAAGCAAGCAAGCGAGCAAGCGAACAATTTAGCAAGGGAGCAAGCAACCCAGCTAGAAAGCAAGCTAGCGAGAAAGCAAGCGAGCAAGCGGCAAGCAAGCGAGCAAGCGAGCAAGCAAGCAAGAAAGCAAGAAAGCGAGCAAGCCAGCAAAGCGAGCAAGCGAGCAGGCGAGCACACGAGCTAGCAAGCAAGGAAGCAAACAAGCGAGCAAGCAAGCAAGCAAGCAAGAAAGCAAGCAAGCAAGCAAGCAAGCAAGCCAGCCAGCCAACCAGCCAGCCAGCCAGCCAGCCAGCCAGCCAGCCAGCCGGCGAGCAAGCAAGCCAGCAAGCAAGCGAGCAAGCAAGCAAGCAGGCCAGCGAGCAAGCGAACAAGCAAGCAAGCAAGCAAGCAAGCAAGCGAGCGAGCAAGCAAGCCAGCGAGCAAGCAAGCAAGCAAGCAAGCAAGCAAGCAGGCCAGCGCAAGCTCGCAAGCAAGCGAGCTAGCAAGCAAGGAAGCAAACAAGCGAGCAAGCAAGCAAGCGAGCGAGCAAGCCAACGAGCAAGCGAGCAAGCGAGCAAGCGAGCAAGCGAGCAAGCAAGCAAGCAAGCAAGCGGGCGAGCAAGCGAGCGAGCAAGCGAGCAAGCCAGCGAGTGAGCAAGCGAGAAAGCAAGCCAGCGAGCAAGCGATCAAGCAATCATGCGAGCGAACGAGGGAGCAAGCGAGCAAGCGAGCGAGCGAGCAAGCGAGCAAGCTAGCAAGGGAGCAAGCAAGCGAGCTAGCTAGCAAGCAAGGAAGGAAGCAAGCAAGCGAGCCAGCGAGCAAGTAGGCAAGCGAGCCAGCGAGCCAGCAAGCAAGCAAGGCAAGAGCGAGCAAGCAAGCAGGCAAGCCAGCGAGCAAGCAAGCAAGCGAGCAAGCCATTCAGCAGGCAGGCGAGCGAGCAAGCGAGCAAGCCAGCGAGCAAGCGAGCAAGCGAGCAAGCAAGCAAGCAAGCAAGCGAGCCAGCGAGCAAGAAAGCGAGGAAGAGAGCAAGCAATCCAGCAAGCGAGCAAGCGTGCTAAGCAAGCCAGCAAGCGAGGGAGCAAGCGAGCAAGCGAGCAAGCAAGCAAGCGAGCCAGCGAGCAAGAAAGCGAGGAAGAGAGCAAGCAATCCAGCTAGCGAGCAAGCGAGCTAAGAAAGCCAGCAAGCGAGCAAGCGAGCTAAGCAAGCCAGCAAGCGAGCAAGCGAGCTAAGCAAGCAAGCGAGCAAGCAAGCAAGCAAACAAGCCAGCGAGCAAGCAAGCAAGCGTGCCAGCGAGTCAGGGAGCAAGCAAGCAAGCGAGCGAGCAAGCGAGCAAGCAAGCAAGCGAGCGAGCAAGCGAGCAAGCGAGCGAGCAAAGACGACAGGCGTGACACAGCACCTACACCAACAAGCACAACACAAGAAAAACAAACAAAGAAACAAAAACAAGTACCGATGTGGACCGTAACGCTGAATGGCAACAGCAATACACCAGACAAAGCAAAGCGAACCAATGCAATCACAAAACAACATTAAGGCAGAATGTCTACTTCATCACCACTGACTATCTAGGTCCTCCAGTAGAGAGGTTAGAATAAGGGTACCCTTTTTCTGTAGTCTATTTTAGTAGGGGAACCCTCCCCCAAAAAAGGATAAAAGGGCACTGCTGGGGGACCTAGTCATTCCTTTTTGTTTGATCCATTTCCCGAAAAGCACCGATGTTTGGGGAATGGGAAACCCCCACCCCTTTGGGCCAGGTCCTGCACTTCGCACAGCTCCTCACGCACCACCCGCAAGGCCTCCTCTGAGTCGAAGGGCGGCAGCTGGTCCTTTTTTCGTGCGCTCAGGGCTTGTGGGCTTGCGCACAACGAAGTGCCAGTTTGGAGTGGCGAAACCCAATTAGAGTTTGCACTTCTCCCAGAAGTTCAAAGAAGCAACCGCTCATCTTGCCCATGTAAAGTGTGAGAGTGGAAGACAACGCATCTGGAGGCTCCTTTGCCGCAACAAC